AACAAATACCTAGTCACATAGCAGCCTATAGAAATATATGCTGTATGCCTATGGTCGTGTATTCGGTCCAGACAAAGTGTCTAGAATGTATGGAATGTACATAAAACGCCCAAACTCGCCTCATTTAAGCCCGTGATCGTCATTGAAATGGTAGGCCAAAAGATACTGCCCCTGCACAAGATCGCTACATCCGGTCTTTCATCGACATGCTTCAGCCAGTAAGACTGCCGGACATATGACCGGTTTAAGGAGGGTATTGGACCAAACAGTCAGGTATCATCTGCAAATTAGATCCATGTTCGACGACAACGTATGGAGCGACATTGTACAGACGCCGGACTCTGAGAAACTGGCCGCGATCCTGGTTCAGTGATGAATCAATTTTTCTTCTCCCACGCTGAGATCGAAGACGGTGGGTCTGCCGACGTCGAAATTAACGTTTTACATGAAATTGCGTTCATTCGACAGATTCGGTGGCGAAAGTGTGATGGTGTGGGGAAATATATCCTACACAAACAGAACTGCCTTGGTGGTAATTCTGGGAATTTCGGAAAGCAAATCGATACATCGACCAACCTCATCTTTTGCCAACTACAACCGGCAGAGGGAGTGGTTTCGACATGACAATGCTACACCTCTTTACTGTTGTCACTGTTGACTTCCTTCATTCTTCAAACCTCAAATGTGCCATTGCCTTCCAAATCACCGTATCTGAACCCGATAGGGCATCTGTGGGATGAACTCGACAGACGTCAACACAGACCACAGACTCTTGCAGACTGGGCAGGAGAAAGATTCGACACTACAGAATCCGTAGCCTTATTGAGTCAACAAGCCTCCCCCTTGCAATGCGTGCCACAGTTGATCTAGCGTCTGGGGCGCCGGTTGACGTTCACGTACGCGTTGGCCGAGGTCATCCCACAAATACTCGATGAGGTTGAGGTCCTGCTATTTGGAAGGCCATGGAAGCACTGTAATGTTCTCATTCTGCAGTTATTGAATAGTAGCCAGTGATGTGTGCGGCCAGGCATTTTCTTGCTTGAAAAATGCACCCTGGAGGTCAATGATCGGAACCATATGAATCCTTGCGATTTCGTCTCTGTACTAAATGACAGTTACCTATCGTAAAGACGTACAAGGTTAGATCTCTGCGTGTAGGATACAAGCCCATACACCATGACTCCCATAACCATATCGACTAACTTTGGAGACACAGTTTTGAGCAAAACGTTCATTTCGACATCGGGGGACACGTATTCTTCCGTCTCGGCACTGAAGTTAAAAGTGCGGCATGACGATATTCTTTCATTCAGCTACAAATTACACATGACTGCTTAAACGCAAAATGGCCAATGTAGGCAATGTCCCTCTCGGGATTCCTAAGAACTACACCTGCATAGTGTTAACCCCTTTTTCTCCATGATATTTTCATGCAAGTTGACACTTTCGAACGCAAACATGCATTCAAGTTTCGGTTGCCTAGTTGCGTTTTTGCAGTCTGCATTCGTTTCGCGTACACAAAAAAGTATAATAATGGTGACATTATATCAGTCTGACACAAACTTTGAAAACTATTTGAAATTCCTCAGTTCAATCGTCACGATATGGCTGAAATATTGCCGATGTGACGATAAATATTAATTCACTCACTCCTCAGTTCAATATAATCTTTGCGTTTGTTTTGGGGGAGCATATATTCATTATTAATGTATAAATTGTCACAATTTGGTTTCAAAATAGACGATTTCGTCGTTTGACTGCATGAATTTTGAGTTTCGTAGAATTTGTTTTATTTGCATTATAATGTAATGATAATATTAGCTAATCAATGTGTAACGGGTTATTGTCTTGAAAACCTTATTGTTAAGCTGACATCATGTTCACATTGACGACACATTGTTCACATTGCCTAGGACGACATCACTTGTCTGCATGCTATGTCAACAAAGATTTTTGTATTGGGATTTTATAGAACGCGTGAATAATGTATTACTCATATGTTTGGTGTGTGTTTTCACTAACTGTGTTTTGTTTAACCATATACACGGATCATGTACACAGATATCGTGTATGCGGATAATGCATGAATTCTGACACTCGTTTCGTACAATCAACATGACACACATACGAGAGTAATAATTTATTAATTACATACTATTATCTACGGAAGCGCTGAAGTATGCTGAGCGCACAAGTTGATATGATGAAATAAAGTTTATCTTGAGCGCAATGAGTTAGTTATCTTGAGTTTGAGTATCTTGAGCGAACAAGTTAGTACGTTCACATCTTGAGTGCACAAGTTAATATCTTAAGCGCACAAGTTAGTTTTTGAGCGAACAAGTTAGTTTGAGCGAACAAGTTAACATCTTGAGCGCGACAAGTTAGTATGTTGAGCGCACAAGTTGAGCGCACGCTAACATCTTTGAGCGCACAAGTTAAGTATCTTGAGCGCACAAGTTAATATGTTGAGCGCAGTAAGTTGAGCGCACAAGTTGAGCGAATATCTTGAGCGCACAAGTTAGTATGTTGAGTGCAGTGCACAAGTTAATATATTAAGCGCACAAGTTGATATATTGAGCACTCAACTTTCTTGAGCGCACAAGTTAGTATCTTGAGCGCACAAGTTAATATCTTGAGCGCTCAACTTCGTGTTTAGCATCTAATGGCATTAATGGAACGCACATTTGCTTGATTAATATCTTGAGGCTAAAATGTACAAACCTATATCCTTTTTGGAACATTTCAAACGATGCAAAGTCGGAGTTAACTAGGTGCTTATGATGAGACTATGTAAAAGTATGCAAATGTATCATGAACATTGATAATGTTGATCATGTAAACGTTCATCGTCTTTATGCTTGTCAATACTATTCTTTGTATCTGATTTTACCACTTTTGTGCTTTATTACATAAAGCAGACCCAGGCATGTGTAATGTCATAATAAGAATTAGGAGTTTATTGCAGGGATGAATAGTGGTTTTACTTGCTTCTTATATTGGTACATAGTATTATGAACACTAGCGTAAAGCTTGGATAACTTGTTTTGTGCTACGGCTTTATTATGTATATATAGTATTACATGACCATGAAAAATCTAAACATTGAGTGTTATACTTAATTATAAAACTGATGTCTGATGTATTGGAAGTAAAGTCGACCGCGTTCAGGGAACTATAGTCTGTAGTCTTGGTTTGCATGTATCAGTAACTGTTTCCTAACGTGGGTACAATGGCAGTTTAACTCTGTACAATATCATATAAAACCCGCCTGATTTATTTGATCCATTAGTATGTGCACATACAGCATATATACCGACTATATTTCTTACTAAAATACCATGTTCCCCGTTTTACTTCCTCCGTTTCAATCCCTTATGTATACGTAAGTGTTTTGTAGTTTATTTAACATGTTTTAACAACACAGGAAGTTGAAGAATAAACACGTCGATGAAGACAGTGTCCTGAACGAAATTCAACACCATCCGGGTCCAACAACGACCGTACAGTATCCTGTTTCACGATTAAACCGCATTGGATACATTTTTGATGCATCAACGATAACCATGTCTTTGTCCAGATCGTCGAAGTTGTCAGCAATAAAGTCTGTAACATCAGCGCGGCGGTGTGGTAGCCTCGTGGTTAAAGCGTCCGCTCGTCACGCCTGGGTTCGATTTCCCCTCTGGGTACAATGTGTGCAGCCCATTTCTGGTGTTCCCCGCCGTGATATTGCTGGAATATTGCTAAAAGCGGTGTAACCCGTACTCACTCACTCACTGTAACATCAGCAAATCTGGTATCTGGTGCGAAAGAGGGACATACACCTCAGAATACGCTTCAAGTGGCGTACTATACTATACCATGATTTTTGACAAGAAGATGTGTTATGTGTTTGTATTGGAACCCAAGACTGAAATAAGCATGAATCAGCTCGAGTTTCCGCTCCTCGCTTCCACATGAACTGCTTATGGAGCAGTGTATTTCAAGATACTAAATTGAGCGCTCAACATACTAACGTGTGCGCTCAAAATACTAACTTGTGCGCTCAATATATTAACTTGTGCACTCAAGATAACTAACTTGTGCACTCAAGATACAAACTTGTGCGCTCAAGATGTTAGCTTGTGCGCTCAATATACTAACTTGTGCGCTCAAGATGTTAACTTGTGCGCTCAATATACTAACTTGTGCGCTCAAGATATTAACTTGTGCGCTCAATATACTAACTTGTGCGCTCAAGATAAATTTTATTTCATCAGGTCCCTTCAGCGCTTCCGTAATTATCCCTTTGACTTTCGCTGTGGAAAAATGCACTGGTCACGATCGCCGTTTTAAACGAAAAACACTATAAAATTGTCAAATGACGTCAAACATTTTCACCAATGACGTAATTACAAATGTGACGTGAGAGACATGGTGACATGAACAGGTGCTTGTTCGGTGATAATGTGCATTAGTGCATTTTTTAATCCTGTGGGAAATAATTGAAATTCATTGGGTTAGTAGCGAAACACCGAAAAAGATATTTTAAAAGATATAACCATTTTTATCCTGTTCATATGGACTATATACGGTGAATGCAAGGCGTATTTGACATGATCGCGTAGGTTTTCCTGAATATTCAAATTCATGTGTGTGCCTTTTACAAAAAAACACGTTATCAATTTATTTCAATTCATTAATGAAAATATATATTTTGAAATCGTCTATTTACCAACGTGACAATGTTTATATCTATAGTAATTATTATGTATACACTTATAAATAGTAATGTTACATATATACACACCTAGATCTTACACTCCAAATATACCTGCAATAAAAAAGATTATTAGACTAGAACCAATGTTGAGAACAAATCAAAATAACTGAAAGTAATTGTTATACCTTAAACAGTTGTGTTGATGATCGTTGCCACAACAAGTCGACTAATTTATTCGCCATGTCTAGGAAGTTCGTCTGCTAAGAAAAGAGGTCATGGCGACCTCTCGCGGATGCGGGCGCGAAGATATCGTCACGTGGGGCGGAGGCGAGATTTCAGAGTTGACAACTGCTCCATGCCGATGGTGGTGTGTGACTGTAAGTGAATGTGATTCAGTGTTGTATTTTAGGCTCCCATTTGAAATGATTCAGTCGTCTGGGTGTTAAACCACCCTTCGCGTGAGTGTTACTGCGCTTTAAGATGGAAATGCATGGATATGTACGTTTGTCTGCTGCCCGGAACACGCCGATTATTCTCGTTTTCGATCGCCATACCGTACGTCAAAACACAAGGGAGAATGCAGTTGTTGTGCAAACTGATGGTTTGTGATGAAATCGTGATACTGAATTAGCACATAATCAAGAACATGAACAATATTTGCATTTATGATTATAAACAACCAGCTGAGTTTTGTCTGTGACGTTTGAGAATGGTCTAATTATAGCATGCTAGTCTTGCGTTTGTTCGGAGCAACACAACAGAATTTCCGCAGCAAATGCAACATACCACTTCCTCTTTGTGAACGAAGCAGTTTTATAAGAAATTAGAAAATATTAGGCCACCAGTTATTGGTTAGGGCTCACGATTACTTATAGACTTATTGTAATGTTTGTTATGGTATTTCATGTCTATGACAAGAGAATGTTCCAGGTTAAAATTGAACCACATATTAAACTCGGATTCTGTCAAAATTGGACATTTTGGTACCAGAATTTTGTTCTTGTGGTAAAATAAACGTTATACTATTCACTTTAACATAGTCCCTAGAAGCGTTGATGAACTTAAATTGTGTTAAGCAACTAATTTATGAGAATTGTTTTCAGCATTTCCTGTTAAAGGTGTAGGGCCTAATGCCTTTAAGTTGAGTTGAGTTGAGCTGGGTTTTGCGTCACATCGGCATTATTCCAGCCATATAGTGACGAGAACAAGTTTGCATTGATAAACATTGTAAGTACATACTCGAATGAGTTTTATTTCAAAAACATATATTCATGACATTGTCATTTAAAAGCACCTAATGCCTTAAAGGCATTGTGAATGATAATTTGGGTCATCAATAACTGTTTTCAAGGAAACATGATGTTTGCCCACCAAATAACCTACACAGCATGCTCAAGGAAGGTATGGAACTTACAAAAACAAATTGGAACTAGGCCACATGGCTGATAACTTCTTAAGACCTACCAGCCGCAATGAAAACCCACCAGTCCTGTCAATATTGTCTTAAGCTATTCTTTAATGAAATACAACAGATTGAAAAATATGTTTGATGAGCTTCAGTAAATTCACTCCGTTTCATTTGCTGTATTGTAACTTACTACAGAGAAGGATGAGACGAAAAACTAATTATTATCCTCGATACTGCATTATGCAAAAATTCTTTTAAACGATAATAGAGCCAATATAAATCAGTATTAATATTGTTAAAATATTAACCTGTCCATTGTTCAGGTAACATTTTTTGACATCCATCCTTAGATTTACCCGTCTTGGGCATTTGGGCAGACGGCTATCGTAAACATCATAAAATCTTTAGAGTTGACATGTTTTTACAGTTTCATTCATCTGCTTTATTTTTTGGTGGTTTTAATATTGGCTTGTCATGCCAAAAAACGGAATACAATTTCCATATGGGTACAGTGGGTGAAGCCTATTTCTGGTGTCTTCTGCCATGATGTTGAAGTAATGCTGCCATGATGTTGAAGTAATGCTAAAATAATTTGCCATAGTTCTCACCACGGTTTATTCTAGGCCTGTTCTGATGTCAAATGAGGAAATGATCAGTGAAAAATCCCCTAAAAACTGTGATGATTTGGTTGAGTTGTTGTTTGATGTTAGTAGGACCAAAAAAGAAGCTTTAGCGTTATACTTTATATTATGCATAATGATCCCACTTTTTAACAAAATACATGTGACAATATTTTCCCAGTGTGCACCAGGAAATACCTCCTAAAAGACAAGAGAGTGTGCCATGCTGTCATTAATATAGTGACCCACAGCTCAGATACACCATCTTGGATGACATACACGATACTCTAAATAAATCACCATTACCCAATTAATTTTGAACTGCATGCATACAAATCAACATAAACAATGTCAGAAACTCTGTAGTAAGCCGATACTGTATGGAATTACCCTGTCCAGCTCTTCGGCTTGTATACCTGTGTTGCTTTACCAATCATAACGTACTGATTGAATGCAGGCATCACACATACATGAACTTGACTGTGGTGAATAATGCACAAGGTTACTTTTGTCTCTTGTTCATATATTTACTGTGCCATTCACTAGCTTATGTGATGTGACACACTTCTGGTAGCACATGGACAGATGCAAATCTGAAGATGCATCTTGAAATAGCATTTATGGAACAGTTTTTGGAAGGTGGAAACATTTGAAATTCTTTACAAATTGGACCCATGGGACTAAAAGTATGTTGAATTCCCAGTGAAAACTATCAATACCCACTTCCATATTTCAAATCATCACATCAGCCGGTGATCCCGTTGTTCAGGAGTATTTTGGCTTCCTGGTGTAATCTGGGGTAATCCTGGTTGTTATCTGTGGGTAAAGTGTTGTGTTTTCTGAAACAAGTACAATGTTTAAAAACAAATACGAGTAATTTTTCTCTCAGACTAAAACCACATTATGTCATTCTTAGAATATGGCTGTAAAGATACATTTACTCCATACTACACAGTAAAATGTCTATCTTCAGCATGTAAGGTTTCTAGTAATTACACAGTAAAACAGATGTGAACATAATTAAAGGTTCCAAGGATTCTGTGTTGGTATCAGGCCCCAGTATTGTACTCAGATGGTATGGATAATTTCTTATAATATTACTCATAGGTCCATCCGGCATGGGCTTTTGAGCCACTCCAGACTCGATTATTTACCGGAATATCGAATAGTGTGGGGCTAGACAATGACAGCACAGAGGCCCAGATAAGCTGCGTATCCTGGTAAAATATGCATATAAAATTTCCAATTACGCATTGAAAAATAATTGTTGCGTACCAATTAAGCATTTAAAATGTTAGATACGCAAAAAGTTTAAAAGAAATGCGTATGGAATATATTTATAAAAATCGCTTGCGTAATGAAAAAGACATCGATTGCTATCAAGTTGTACTGTTAGTATAGGACAAGTGTTGTACTGTCAGTATAAGATGAGTGATTTTTTGTGAAACCATTTCCATTATATTTATGTTGGTTTTGATTAGGTATGACATAAGGCAGAACATACCTGCTAAGTAAACTTACTCAATGACATAATACTTAGGTGAGTAAAATGACTGAAATACGCACATATACGCAGTGGGTAACGGAAAATGAAATACCCACTCAACATTCATAATGCCCACTCCAAAAAAATACAGTGGGTACAATACCCACATGAGCTAATTCTTATCTGGAGCTCTGACAGCAAACAGACATACTGTTTAAAACATATTTTCATAACATCGATTATGGGAATGGTTGGGTAGCCAAGCTGGTTGATGTGTTCACTTAACAGGTCAAAAGGCCTGTGCTTGATTACATTGGGTACAGTGTGTAATGCCCATTGCTCATGGCCTCTGCCATATTTTTTGAACAGTGCTAAAAGTTGTGTAAAACCACACTCACACTGGAATGTTTAAAGGCTACTGAGTTTAAGTGATATATCAGTCTCAGCGTTAAACAACAAACACTCAAACATTGTGTTTTGATTGTCATTTCAAAGTTTGATTGTATATTCTCTTCACAACTGTTTATCCCGTGAAGATCCAGGTTAGAATTGATCTTCAGTAACCCATGCTTGTCGTAAGAGGCGACTAACGGGATCGGGACTTGATTGTTTACAGACCGCTGCTGGAATATTGCTGAGTGCGGCATAAAACTAAACTCACTCACTCACTCTCTCAAAACTGTTTAAGTAAATGTCCTTTGACAAGAAAATGAATTGTATCAAGTTTTTGTTTACATGTTCATCATTTGTATTAATGTTTCCTGATCTGTTTTTGTTTCCAGAGCTCTGCCAGTATGGGTACTGTGTGACCTGAACTATGGCCGAAGCCTCTGAAGAAGACCCTGCCAATAAGTCCCCAAGCTTCCATGCAGGACTGGACAGGCATGATGCAGGTTTTCCTGCCGATGCAGGGGGAAGACTGCCCTTTGAACCCTGGACCCAATTCAGTGGGATGACCCACCCTGTGTCTCCATCACATCTGTACTGGGACAACTTCGGTCAGCCTTCAGACCCTGTGGATGGACAGTTTGGGCTGTCCACTTCCTCACCGGACTACTTCAGTGCTTACTCGACGTATATTCAGGAATTGGGTCGGTCTGGAGGTCTGCCAGTGTTTGATGATGCCAGCAGTCTTGGAAGCGATTTCCCTGCTTCCCCTCCTTTACCTGAAGACTCTGGCTATGACACTGCCTCCAAGGAAGGATATGACTTGTACACAGATGCCATGAAACAGTGGCAGACCGGGGATAAATTCAGTGGTACTTACAACCCATTTGGGACAACTGATGTCCTCACTCAGGCAAAGGTTCCAGAAGAGAAACCAGATATCAACAACAAGCCAAAAACCTACTCTGACGTCGCAAAAACTCTGAAAAGTAAACCTATGCAGAAACCTAAAGAAGACCTTGACAACTGCTCAAAGAAAAAAGGCCCGGACACACTGCCCAAATCATTTAAGCCTGCTGTGAAGAAATCCTTCCAGACTAGAGGATTTCCCAGTCGTCAAAGGACAACATCTGCTGATGGAAACCAGGGATCTATAGTGTTGCCAGATTCCAAATATGGGCTGGACCAGTTCGAGGATTTGGATGGCTTCGAGGCCAAAGTGGAGAGGCCCATAAGCAGTAGTGCAGAGAGCCTGTCTCATCGCAGTCGGAAAGGAAGCAACAGCAGTGTTAGCAGTGGCACCAGCGGCATAGAGGAGATTCATCTCACCAAGTCCACCAGTAGGGACAGCATGGAGAAAAACACTTCGGAGAAGCTTAACACTGACCCAGGGAAAGCTTCAAATGAACATGTGCCTCCCTCAAAGGACAAATCAGACCGTGTCTTCTTTGATCCCAAAAGAATTTTTCAGAAGAAGGAAAAAGATACAAATAAAGTTAAGAACGATAGTAGACATTCTGGCACCAGCAAGTCTGCAGGCACTGTGTTGAACAATGGCAAGCCTCCAAGTGCTAGTAAAACTTCATGTGTGCCGCCCAAGAAGGCAGACTACATCAATAACGACCTGCGGGACTCCAAGAAGCGAACCAATCACACTGCTGCAATGAACAGAGAGTCCAGGAGTAAAGGTCACTCTGGGGAGGACCTGTTTCAGAACGGCGTGTCCCCAGAGCGGAAGTCGAGGAAAGATGCCCCTTCCAGCCATGACACTGAGTCGCAGAGACACCTTCCTTTTGGTGGCAACATTGATTGGGAACTGATAGGTAGGTGCACATAGACATAACTTAAGTTTAAATATTCTGAACCAAATAATTGTTTGTGGACAACAAGTCGATTTATATTACTGTGTGGAACTACTGGAACTACTTATTTCATCCAGCTAATGGGCATTCAGGGAGGCCGCTTTGAAATATGGAATTTAATTTCTGCTACAAAATCCAGCGTTTGATGTGTGAGATTAAGTGCATGATATAGTCAGAAGTGTTGAGTCAGATTGCCTGTAAGGGGAAGCAACACTTGTGTCCTTGTGAACTGATACCATAGTTAAAGAAGTGAAAGAAAACTTTTTTTTCCTTTTATAACTGTTATCATCTGTCATGACCTACATTTCATATTGGGTATTCTGTTGGGGGTAGGGGGGTGTCTTCCATGAACCGAGAGACTAGTCAGCTGGTTTTGTCTTGGCCTCCCTAGTCACAAGACATAATGTGTAACTACAACAGAAACACTGTCAGAGGTGCATGATTTACCCAGTTTAAGTCAGATGTAATTGAGTCATTTCAGAATAATTTTTACAGGGATTGGATAGAGAACTTTGACAGTGGGCCATTTTCAGGATTATTAGCCATTTTCTGAATTTAGAATGGGCCACTGCCCTTGTATCAATAGTAAACTTCAAAATTTTAATGGGCCATTTTTTATTCTAATGTGCAAAATGGCCCATGTCCCCTGCCTTTCCCAATCCCTGTTTTTAGAAAATGATTTTGTTTGAATGAGTAGGTCTTCTGTAGGGTAAACAATTTTGTTGACAATTCCATGAGTCATTGCTTGTCATGACAAAATTAGGAAATTGTCATTTGTCTACTAATAAGAAATATATGGTTTTGTGCAACATTTTATAATAATTTTTCATGACTTTTCCAATCACTGCATGTAGGTAACAAATATCCCAAATCAGAGTATTCTAGTGCAGTGTTCACGAATGGTGTTTCAAAGTGACAGGACATTGGGTCCTGTAAGTTTCAGATGTCTGCCTGACCCATTGAAAATTCAGAGGACCCATAGAATAAATTAAACACACATTTCAGATTGAACATTTCTTATAATTGGTATTGAAATTATTAACAAACATAAGATTTATGAGCAGCAAACAAGTGTCACATGTCACATATAACAACTTCTGTCAAAGTCATTGTGATATATACAGTCAGACACTGGGGCTGGCGGGTTGTAGACTTCTATCGGACTGTTGGTGAATCTGCCAGATTTGTCAGAGGGTCAGACGCTATTTGTGAACACTGCTAGTGCCATAATTCCATGTATACGACAGTAAACAAATTCTCCATCTTCACTTACAATAAGAAGATTATACAAAAAAATGGAGTGATCTGTAATTCCTTCACGGTTTATAAGTAAACCAATACTCGCTCCAATTGCATTGTTAAAATATAACAGCTTGTCTATGTATCAAATGCCAACTGACGATATTTTAATGAGGACAAATTTGTTATGCTCATCAGAATATTAATTTCTTCGGGCATGGAATTGTTTTTGTATCAACAATGCATGAGTGTAAACAATAGTTTGTGGAATCATTATTTTGGGAAAGCCGTGAAGCAAGCAGATGAACTATGTATTAGGCTACAAAAATTATGGGCATTTTGATATTTTAATTTGTAATGGGCTGTGGAAGGGACTCACATGGCTATTAGCACAAATATGAAATAGGAACAAACGAAATGATTTATCTGAGAACATCACTGATAATGACACTGATAGCGAAGGAAGTGAACCGGTAAAGAATGTCTGCTGTGGAGATGACCATACATTTATTTATGATAGCAATATGAACGATGTATTTTTCAAAAATAGGCCAGAGTGTGGTGTTAGAGCAGAGATGGTAAATATAACTTTCATAACAGGCTCCTGAGTTTTCCTTGTAAATTGACAAAAAGGAGATTGCACTCAGTTTTCAGTTTATAGCTCCATTAGAAATAAACACTGGCAGAATTAGTTTGTTTGGGGCACACTAGAAAACAATATGTCTTTATAACCTTGTCTTTGCTGACAGAGAAGTGTGCTTGTGTGAAATGACATTTTGTTCTTGACATAATGATATATAATGTTGCTGTTACTCCATAAATACCCTCGATGTGACAGTCTGACAGTCTCCCTCTGAGGGATGTGTGTAAACTAGAGACATTCATCAGCATTATATCCAGCTGGTTGATTCAGGATACTGGGAGGCCTTGGTCATTGACCAGGAAGCAACTAAACTACCATTTCTGACATGTCCGACCCAATAGTTTAGTGGCCTGGCCCATGATATTCCAGGTAGTGGCATTTTCCTGAGGAGGCAAGAGTGAGTGTCCCCTGGCCTATATCATTGGACGTTTCACTGCTCAGTATGTTCTTATGGATGCAGATGATCCTAGACAGTATATATGTTGGACGGCATCACACATGTCATATACTCAGATCAGCCAGGCTTAAACTGAGCCATATGGAAATAGATGATGTGATTCTCCCTCCAGGAAGTGCCTGACCTGATATACCTGAGCTTTATTGAACCAATTTCGACTGAGATGGACATTCTAAACTTAACCTTCTGTCTGAAGCTGGCGTCCAATAACTGTTTTGGGACCAGCAAACTCAGCTGGCTACTCAAAACATTAACTCATTGAAAAGGGGCACCACTGAGATGGGAGCTTTTGAACCTGAGGAAAATCTGGACTTGCTTCATTTAGGGCCTTTTCATTACAGAAAAAGGGCTAGGCAGAAGGGAACCTAATATTGTCAAGTGACTGTGAGACAGACTTTCGAGTCAACTACAGGTACATACTCCTGAAAATTATGAAAGAAGATTGTAAAAACCCAGTAAACGCTAAAGTACAAAAGTATATGAAAATGCTCCAGAACTGTTTTGGTTCACTTGTGAGGAGTGAGCAATGCTGAAACTTGTCATCTTAGACACTATGCTTTTGCATAAAAGCTGGGAACCAAGTTCAGGGTCATATATGTTGCTCAAAACATGTTGAAGGACTGAGTCACTCAGTCAGTATTGTGTTGAAATGGTGGGTCATTTACTTCAAGAACCCATAAATGTCTTCTCCATTTATTGATGTCTGTATAATATATAGAGCAATATATTAGTCTTCCTGAACAGAGCAGACAGAGGTATCTTATGCTTGTTGTGATGGCAGCCATGATGGGGATTGGGTGACCAGCATGACTACAGGTGTAGAGGCCAGGATCCTAGGTATTCAGCCATCAGGAGTGTAATGAGACGTTGTAATACTGATGTATTGTACATTGAAAGTCATTGTATAACTGTATGTTTTGTCTTGCTTTGGACTTTTGGATAATTTTTTGGTCCATTATTGGACTTTTGGCAATATGTTTATTGCATTTTGCACTTATTAGACATCTTAACTTTGCTTTGTTGTAATGTTTCGGTTCCCAGTGTTGGAAATTAAGCATGGAAGTCTAGGTGTTTTTGTCATAACACTAGTGCAACAAGTGAAAGAGATCACTGGATTTAGATACTATAGTTGAACAGCACTAAGGTACAAGAAAACCCCTAAATTTTCAACGCGGGTTCTAACTGTACTTAATATTAATAAAGAGTATGGGACTGGTGATCTTGTTTGGTAGTGTTTATAGTTTTGCTTTTAGACATGTTTAAAACCCTCAAACTTAAAAGAACTATGGTGAACTGATGTATAGGTCATCAGTTATATCAGATTAACTAAAGATCTAAGCTAAATAAACTAAGTTAATTTGCATTGAAAAAGGTGTTTTTTTAACCCCACCCCACCCCAAGGATTTTTGCAGTGTTTTTTGTTAAGTTCATAGTTATTTTGATGTTGCCATCAAAGCTATGATGTAAAATTAGGCTTTTTAGCTACTTCCTTGTTCCAGTCACTGGCATACATGTCAACTCGGCAAACCCACATCAGTTACAGCCATTTGACACTGAATCAAATTTACAATTGTTAACAGACATTTCCTACAAACTTGTGGCTAAATATCACTTTTTTACAGTTACATGTTGATTACCAAGTTCAGACTGAATAGTTAACCAGGAATCAGTCTGTTCGAGAACTAGGTATGAAATCAGCGAAACACAAAGCAAATGTGACATGATCAACAAGTGTATTCTAAAGTTAACTTAGTTCACAAATCAATGCAAAAGTATCACTTGGCAGTACAGAAAAGAGAGGCAGTACAAATTCCAGGGTAATATCATGAAAGGGCAGTGATTATAGCAATAAAGACAGTGGTAGTAATATCCTCCTCTCAGCAACAGTAATAATTGCATTAATAATAATTGTAATAAATCGCAAGCGTCCTTGTACTTTAACTATAAGAGTTCAGAGTGAAAGTGTGTTTTATTACACTGTACATGGTGGTAGATCGAACTGTATTTCTTAAACACAATGTTGGTCTTCTGGTGACTTGCGGTGTAATGTCAGATGAGAGGCAAGATTTTAGTTCCCATATATACCTAAGAAAAAGATGCCAGAAAATTCCACAGTATTTTCTCAGGCATATGATTCTGCAATAAGCTCCTTGTAGCTCTCTCCAGATCATTCTGTCTAAATCTAGTATAAATAGAAATATAACACACAACTGTCCCTCACTGAATCTACTGGTACAATGCATAACAGTTGAAATACTGTTGTACAATGTATAACACTTTGATAACAATAAATACAGCCTCTGAGCAGATATTTGGGTTTATATTCATGTGTTTTATATGGTAACACAAGAACTCTGAGATCTAAACCTAAATGTAAAGTTGGTTGGGAGGTTGTTCGTTATGGAGAAATTACTTTCTGTTAAAATTGCAGAAATGCATTGCATGCATTCTAAGATATTTAATCAGTGGCACACTAGATAAGTTGTTTTATCAACATAAACAGAAATAATGTCAGGATATTGTAAGGTTATCTGTGTTCATGTTTATAGGTCACCTTCAAGGTTGATTTCATGTAGTTTTGGTGCATTGTCTTGTCTGAAGCTTACCTACTAGTTTCACTCC